ATGTGGTGTTCTTGCGAAAACGTTTCTCATTCATTTCTTTTTTTAAGTCAATTGATATTTTATTTATCTGGATGGTTCGAATATGTTGGTGAAAATGAATATTTCTGTGAAATCAATTTTATAAATATAGTTCGTGTGGCTATTTCAACCATAATTGTCTACGGTATACCAATGAGTTTCTTAGCTGTAATTTATCTATGGATATCGCAATATGTTCGCACAACAACATCAACAGTATCAACCGTACAACATCGTATGCATATAAAACGTCATACGGAAATGTTAAAACGTGTTCTAATACCCGTTTTTATTTTATTAGCACTTGGTACACCGTGTATATTATTTATCGTATCGGCAGCCATAGAAAATAATGGTACAATCAATTACTTATGTTATCGTATCTCTTTTTTTTTCGTTTCATTAGGAACTAACATTATGCCTATAGCTATTATTCTGCTAACACCAAATTTGAAAGCAGCAATCGGAAGAAGAAGAAGTCGAAAGATCACTTCAATAACTGTATTGGGCACCAAAACTCTTACTGTTCCCACGTTGAATCTAGATAGTGGTTGACAGCAGCCATTAGCGCAGAATCATGTAATAATAGAAGAAAAATAACAGTAGCAGCAAATGACTATAGTAGTACAATAAAGTCCTGGTAAAATGATGTAGTAATTGTAAAGGCAGAATAAAACATGTTTTTTGTTTAATAAAACGTTTTAAATATTTTGATTAAATGACGGTTATACAGTGAGGCAAATGTATGCAGAGGACATGAGATTATATTCGTTAGAGCTGCGAAGAGCAAGACGATTTGCATCCAACGTCCTACGGTTTCCAAAAAATCGTTTTCTAGAAAATTGCGAAACTGAGTAAAAACTATGGGTATGTGACACGTCTTTACCAGATCAGTTGACAGATTGTTGTGTATTTTTTAAGGAAGTTTACAAGATCTGCCTAATAACAGGATGAGATTTTGTTAGAAAAGAAAAATATAGAAATAGAACTGGCATCTATTGTCGGTAAGTAAAAGGAACGGACTCGAATGGTTTTTAAATAATCTTTGACAAAAAAGGGATAG